GAGATGGCTGGTTTGGCTCTACGGAGGTGTCACCTGTGTCTCTTAGGTGGAGCACACGCTGCATCCGCCTCTATTTCCTCATCTGCACAAGGAGGGTAAGGATGGAGGCTTCTTTTGGTTGTAGTAAGAATTAGATGAGTTGGCACAGTCCTAGAACACGCCGGGCACCGAGCAAGCCCTCAGTGTAGATGTTACACTGCGCAGTCTTCCCTGAGGATGCGGGCTTGGGGCTCCCCCTCTCTGCCCTAGGCGCCCAAGCCTGTGGGGATCCAAGCAGTGCCTGTTCTTCATGACTGATGTGGGATTCCAGGCACCCCCTTGACAAAACATTAGGAAGGAAGGTGGCACAGAAAAATAGCGAAGGGTTCACCATGATGGGTGAGGTAGTGGAGTAAGGTGACTTACTTTTACCCTTTCCTAGGTGAGGGGCACGCTCAGGTTGGCAGGTGACCAGGCGGGTCGCAGAGGAGGCCCAAGTCCAGTCCCAGTCCCATCCCCAGTGGAGGAGGGCTTTCTGCTCCCTGCCGATAGCTGCAGTAGTGCAGCGGCACTGGAAACCCTCTAGCACCAGGGTCCCCAAAGTTAGAAGGTGGGGATGTTCCTTGTGAAATGCCTCATTCTGTGAGCGTTTCTTTTGCTGTTGTTATTTTTCCTTTTTGTTTCTTCCTGTGCCCCCTTAACACATGCATCCAGCCATGTGTTACTTCCCCTCCAGCCCCGCTCCCCTTGCTGCTCACCCCTTTTCACCCCAGTTCTTCCTTATTTGCTGTCCTGCAGAAATGATGCATGCCTTTCTCCAGAGAAGAAGTTTGATTTCTTACTTTTAATGGTAAAAATAAATAACTTTTCACCCTTAGAAATCTAAACAAAGTTGCCTTTTATCTAGTCGTGCCTAGAATTAATTAGTTAAGAGACTGCCAAACCCTGGGGTATCCTTGTCCTGAAAGGAGCAGAGATCTCGGGGATTGGGAGATGGAGAAAGGGGAGGGGAGACCCAGGGAAAGCCGAACTTCCATCTGCCCCCTTTGTTTAGGATTATCTGTGTTGCCGTCGTGGTTGTGTCAAGATTCTTAAACTTTTCCAAACGGGAAGAACAGAATTCTGGAAAATTACCAAAGTGCACTTTTATAAAGAAACCATGTGGAATCTGACACATTTTTTCAAAAACACTCATTGATTTTAATTCTTTTCATGGAAAGTTCTGAGAGTTTTCCAGCTTTTCTTTCATGTGGCCTTTGTATAATTTGGGGAGGAGAATTGAGTTTTCCTGCACCCTTGGCTTACCTGCAGCAGTTTGTCTGTGAGCAGCGGGTCTCATCACACATCTCAGAATAACCCTGACGTAGATGTTAGCGGAAGCATGGGTTGCAGCAGTGCCGCCTGCCACCAGGGAGGACCTGCCTGCTTGAGAGAGAAAGCCGATTTTGATGACCCCACAAAGTGGAGTTGAGGGTATTTAAATAAATGGAAGCAATGCGGTGCCCCATTCTGTATTCCACAATGTGTCATGTGGTCCACTTCTAGCTGCAGTGCCCAATTTGAATGTAACATACACATTTATGATTGTTCTTTCCCACTTTACCAAGTCTGGTGCAGTTACAATAATACCTGGGTTTATAAGATGGGCATAGCTAAGATCTGGTGTTTTTCAAGAGTTCATTGCAGGAAATGTTTACCTTAGAAACACTGTGTACCTCTTTTCAGTGGGTACCATTGCAGGAAGGTTTGCCTAGGCTGCTCATTGGGCTTTATCACAGGGGTACCCCACTGTTGGCATGGCCTCATACACGCCCATACCATAGAGGAGAGAAGTTGTTGGGTGTAACCTAGGCATGCCAGGGGTAAGGCATTGAAGAATACTCAAAACTGTAGCTAGGCGTGGTGGCGCATGTCTGAATTCCAGCACTCTGGGAGGCTGAGGCAGGAGGATGGCAATTTTGGGCATATCCTGGGCAACTTAGCCAGACCCTGTCTCGAAAAGTAAAAAGGACTGGGGATGTAACTCAGTGGGAAGACCCAGGGTTTAATCCTCAGTACTGCCAAAAACAAAACCCAAGGGAAATGATACTAAATCTGTCAGCCTGACCTTGATAGCGTTAGTGGCCATCTTCAAAATCAAGCCCAAAGGTGCAGGGAGAATGTAAAGGAGACCAGTCCCCTTCTCGCCCTCCGAGGCAACCTGTTCTGTATCTCGTGGACTCTGGGAGGGGTCCGACCCCTTCCCTACCTCTCCTTGCCCGAAGTCCCGGAGCCCATCGTGTCAGGTGCGTGTCCAGGGCCGTCACCTTCTCTGTGACTTGGCGTCGGGCTTTCTGTCGCTGTTCTGGCTGCAGCTCTTTTCCCACCAGCGCAGGTGTCGGAGCCTGGGGCTGCATGTGGGCGGCTGCTTCTGTGCCCACGCAGCTTTCTCGAGGGCTCCACCTGTCATCGGGTTGGGGGGAAGTTTACTTTACGGGGTTTGCACTGCTGGGCAGCGGACACGGAGGCAGCCGGAGGTCACGGGATTCCCCAGGACACTTCCCGTTTGTCCCCGAACCAAGCCACTCACAGAGGACGAGGTTACCCAACTGTCTCTCCATTATTTTGTACTACAGAATTTGCCAGAAGTTTGGGAAATGGAGTTTAAAAAGGTCCTCCTGGGCCTGCACCTTTCAAATATCAACTATAGTCATTTCTAAGCTTCTTTTTGGAGACAGGGTCTTGCTGTGTAGCCCAGGCTGGCCTCTAACTCAAAGTAATCTTCCTGCCTCAGCCTCCTGAGTGCTGGGATTACAGGTGTGCACCACTATGCCTGGCCTTTCTAAGGCTTTTATGTGTGTTTTACAATATGATCATAATCATAGAACCATGTTTTTTTATTGATGCTTAGTTTTAAAAATGTGTCATTCTAAATTAATGCATGATCATACATATTTGTGGGGTACAGAGTAACATTTCAATGCATGTGATATTCTTGCACCATGTATAATGCTGTCAGATACATCACCTGCAGCATTTATATTTCTTTATGTAGGGAGTGGTAGATAGTTTTTGAAAGACATTATGAGGAAGATTTTTTTTGGGGGGGGGACCAGGAATCAAACTCAGGACCTTGTGCTTGCCAGGCAGGCACTGTGCCACTGAGCTATATCCCCAGCCCCATGAAAGGCATTTTATAGTTGTGTATCACAACACCGGGTGCCATCATTTTTTGAAATATTCTGTTATTAGTGAGTATTTGGGTTGCTTTTGCCTGTTGGCTATTGCAAATAGTACTCTGGGTGAACCTTTAGGTACATAGGACCTTTGTCATGTTTTGGATGGTTTTCCTGCCAGTGGATATTAAGAATGATTGATTGGGTCACAGATTGTCGTGAAGACTTCGGTGCATTTAACCATAGGTTGGAAGACGGAAGTGGATTGGTGGGGCAGGGAGCATTGCAGCGTGGGTGACGCCCAGGTTTCTGGCTTGCATGGTGTTGGGGATGGTTGGCCCAGGTAGGGCTGAGCAGAAGGATTCCGTTTGGGAAGTGGGGCTCCATCCAGGCAGTGAGGAAGGTTCCAGAGGCTGTTGGATTGCAAGGCCTGGTATCTCTGGAGAAGCCAGGATGGGTCAGGTAAAGGGGTCCTGCGCCTCTCGGTGTGCTTGGAGCTGTGGGTGCTGTTGGGGTCGCTTAGAGTGTGGAGCGAGACCAGAAAGTGGCAAAGACTCAGGGGAACCTCATCTTCTTGGAAACAGAGGAAGGAGAAGGGAAGTAGGCAGACATCGGGGCTACGCACGGCCTCATGGAATAGGAGGGGAGCGTTTGGAGGAGCAGTGCAGTGACAGCACTCACTGGGTTAGTTGGCATCTCTTTTCCTCAAAATAGAGTGCTTTAGCTGATGCCTGAAACCCACAGGTGCCCGAAGGTAGAGGCAGCCCTGTGGTGTGCTCTCCGGTTTCTGTCCCCTTTGGGTGACGCGTATGCAATTATCCAGAGTCGCTTGTGTTCACCCCCAAACCTGGATACGCCAGTTACCTTATTGTAATCACTTAATAAAACGACTTTAAACATGTTCCAAAGAACCGTCATTTCTGTACAAATCCATCTGAACGCTTTGGAAACCACCCCGTAAGTGTGATGTTGATTGCAGCCAGCTTAGGAGCCACTGAGATTATCCTGAAGGGTTTGGGGGATCAGGGTGTAATATGGCCAGTCACTCCGAACTGGTGAGTTCAGCTGTGATTGTAGCAAACCCAGGACTCTCAGTGACAGTGAGCAGTCAGCCACCCATGTCACGGCGTGTCTGTCCTGGGTCCAGAGGTAGCTCTGCTCTAGGTTGTCCTCTTCGTTCCTCCTGGACACAGGCGATGCAGCGGCGCCCTTGGGGACAGTGCAGATCCCTGCCCCGGGGAAGGCAGCTGTGATGCCCCTGTGGGCCTGCACCCCTGGAGTCAGCAAAGGGATGGGGTGGGGCGGGAGCCTGGGCGTCAGTGCCAGGTAAAGCGAGGGACCTCACGCTGCTTCGCAGATGTCTTTCCATCCTCCCTGCTCTACGCATTCCTGCTGGCCTGACCGTGCCGTCGGGCAGCTTGTACCACTGCTGGTGCAAATGGATCTATCGCTTTCATTGGTCTTTTACTAATAAAATTAATAAACCAATTCTTCTTCGTCACCTTTGCCGTGGTGATTATGTAAATACTAATCTGAATTCCTCATTTGGAGGCAAATCATCTGTCCCATGGGCGGTCCTGCTTTATTGATTCTGTGGTTCTTAAGTATTTTCTTTGCCCCTCAAGATTGCAAATGCCTGGGAGACAGAATGCTCTCCTCCATTGCTCGGGGGTACAGGTGCCCAGGTCTGAGCAGTCGCTGTTGGTGGGAGGAGACTCCAGCACCTTTCATCCTGCAGTTCAGTCCTGCCTGGAAGCTGAAGCTGCTTCTTCCTGCCCGAAGGATATTGACCTACTTTCCCCTTCTTATCTGTGTGCAAAATATTTGTTGGACTCAGTGTGCTGTCCCTGTCACAACGAATGTTTGTCTCTCCCTTTCATATGGACTGTGTGCTAAAGTGCTGGTTCAGTCAGTGGAAAAACAATGGAGAAGCAAAGTTGGTAAGCAGTTTTAATTTCTAAACCAGGGGGAACGTATATGGACGTCGTTTCAAAAGAACTCTAGTTTCTCTGTGTTCCTAAAGGTAGAACTGCCTAACGGTAGAATTGTAAATTTTACATTTTTATGCCTTTTAACGTAATGATTTACAGTCTAGTTTACAGTCTAATGATGTACTTAGAATTTTTTTCTTTTGATAAATGACTTGTAGGAGGAAGTGAATTTTTCTTAATCGGGATTTTACAATGTAGTTCACTGTTGAGTATTTTCCTTCTTACCAAAACTTCCCTTGGGAAAATTTGTCTTACAGCTCCGTATGTGGTTCAGCTGATTAACTTTGAAAATGGGATTTTGTGTAACTTTTAGTAATACCGTGGATGTTCTGGATTGAAGGCCAGAAAAAAAAAGTGTGTGCAGGTACCAAAATGCGAAATAACGGCAGTGACCTGTAGGACTTCTAGAAATAACTGGAACTGTTAATCAAATTTACCTAACATTTGTAAGTTTTGTAAACATAAACTTTAGTACATGTTTTGTGTGACTTAAAAATGATTATCTAGTTAGAGTATGCCTTGTAGGTGGATATATTGTATTGCGTGTCTTTTAGTTCTTCATGAATACTACAGAATGAATTTACAAATATATATGACTCACATTGCTTTTGATTTTAAGTAGTACTTCCAACATTAAAAATCTGCTTCCAAATCCTAATGTGATTGTTATTTCAATCAGTGTAGGTGAAGCACCCCACCTTAGCCATTTAGCTGTTCTCTTCAAAAAGTCTTTAAAATGACGAAGTAGTTTTGCTTTCTGAGTTTACGTCATCAGGGCTTTTTGTGTTGTTTTGTTTGATCAATTCTCATCTCATAAACATTCATGAAACCCTAGTGTACATGTATGAACGTCTCTTCTTTGGTTTACATAGTCTATGAGACTTTATTTTAGTGGGTAACTGAAGGAGCTTCTGAATTTTTATTCTGAAGAACTTTGTTCAGTGCAGTCCCAGGGCAGCGCCGAACCTGCACTGTTGAAGAATGCTTAGCTTTTTCCTTTTTAATGTTTAGGTTTCTCAGTTTGTAATCTTTGCCTTCACAAGTGGATGACTTGGTGAAATAGTCAGCGCCATTTTGCAGCCAGCCCTGTGCCTCTGTGCACGTAAGGAGGGCGCATGTAGCTCTGCTTGCTGTGATCCTGTTCGCTCACAGCGAGCTGCTGGGCTGTGTACTGTGTAGTTAGACTTTTTAATATATATATTTCTAATGGTGGGTTCAGGATAAGGAGAGCCACTTTCCTTCGCCTCTGGGAGAATGTCATTGAGAGAGAGTCCTGTGGACTGGCCTTTGCTGGCATTTTGGTGTCTCACATTTTTGAGAACCCCGGAAGGAAAGAGCTCAGTCTTTCTGGAACGAACAGAGCCTTTTTTAGTTGAATCAACAGTGATGGAAACTGGGACGGGATATTAGGAGATGTGCTGTACACTTTCGTGGGGAAACTGAGGCTTGGAGATGGAAATGTGCCCACGGTCTCACCGTGAGCTCGTTGGTGAGCCGTGTCTGCAGTTTGACTCTTGATTTTTGGGGGACCACTGCAGCCGTCTTTCTGATCCCTGTGACATGTTACAGAATGCAAAAGCTGCCGTTTTTCAGAGTGGCCCCCGCGCTGCCTGGAACAGGAAATCCTGTTGGCTGCGTCCGTGCTGTGCAGCGCTGTGCTGTTGGCTGTAAGAGGGTGTTCTTGAGGGATCTGATGGCCTGATCAAGTATAAGGAGAACAGAGGACTGCAGAGGTAGCTGCAGGCTGAATAAGCTCAGGATGTGGGCAGACAAGGGACAGAGGACTTTGGTGAGGATGTTAGCACGTGGAACAAACCAAGTTGGGACCCTCTAATTAATAAGTGGATTCATTTGGGAGGGAAGCTGGCCGTGTTCAGTTTAATGATTACTGGTGATTCTTGGCAGCTGTACCCCTAGCAGCACCAAGTGGAGCTGTCCAGTGTGTGAGGTATATTTGAGCGGCTTTGCATTCACTCAGAGGTTCCAGTGTCTTGGATTTGCCAATCTAAACACATTCAACTTCTTGGAAATATTTTTTTATCTGCCTTGAGGGAACAGATTGAGAAGTCTGTGGGTTATAATGAGCACGTTCCCTCTTACAGCTGAGTTTGTGTTTCTGGGTAAAACTAGTGGTTTATAGTTTTGGCTACCCTGGCCCGCAGGGACCCATATCCCTTCAGACGTTAGCTCATTGATTCTCGTAATATTCAGCATGAGGTGTGTGGTATGAGTTTTGGTCTCTTTGCCACCCCTTCTGGACCTTCTGGGGTTGTGGCAGGTGGGGGGTGCCACTGTAGGGGACCTGGGGTGCTCTGGGGCTTTCTGGTCAGGCCTCTGAGAAGTGGCCCTTTCTGAGGCTGCCATCCTTGCCATGGCTGTGCAGAACTTTTTCTGGAAAATGAGTGTGGGACAGTGGTGTGGCCACCTCCTGGGGAAGGTCTTCTGCCCACGAGGCCAGTCTGTAGGTTAGTTACCTGGGCACACCTGCTGGAAGATAGGACAGAGCTCTTTAGGGTCAGGTGGAGAAATGGCAGTCAGGGGACTTGCATCTGGTGAGTTCACTTTCTCAGCCAGGCTGCGTTACAATCCTGTGGAATAGATGTTGTGGTCCCTGAGTTTGTAGATCAGAAATCGGAGCTGCAGGGATGAATTGCCCTGGATTTGAGCTGTGTCTGTGTTTGCAAAGCTTGTGCAGTACTGTATTGTATGGATCAAAGGCGTCCCGTGTGCTGAACTATGGCTACATCTGCTCGGTATAAGTGAAGCTGCTCTTGAAAAGGTGCTGGGGTGTTAGGAAGAGTTTGACAATTTGGGTGTTACATTGAAGGCTGCGCAGATCACCTAAGAAGTGTGAAAGACCATTCTCAAACCAGTCATAGCAACTCAGCCTCACCCTGGCTCTTCTGGAAATGAGATGCCTGACACCTCCTGGGTCTGATGGTCACTCTGACAGCGAAAGGTTGTGTCCAGGATCCTTGTTCCTTGGAGATCTTGTTCCTGTGCCAGAAAACACGGTTGGTAGCTGGTTACCCAAAACCTTTGATGTTGTTATTACCCTCCCCCGCTTTTTTGCTAAAAAATCCTTCTAATTAATTCAGCTGATATTTGTCATATTCATTTTCTGCAGTTGGAAAAAAAACTGTTGCCCTCTTGTCACTGTATGAATTATAAAGCTCTAGGTGTTTTTAAATCCCTGTAAACCAGCCTCTGCCCGATGGAGCCCTGTTATCTCCGAGTTGGTGGCTTTTGTTTGCGGAGCCAGTCTTCCCATGCCCAGATGGAAACCAGCCTTGACCTTGATCCGTGGTGGTCCCTAGCCGGTCTCAGGCTCTGCAGATGTCCTGCAGGGTTTAGGCTTCCTGAAACCACCCTGCCAGTGAATTGCCCACCCCCTGTCAATCACAGGACTTTTCCAGGCTGGAGACGGGCTTTAGAGCATGTGCGCTTCCATTTGCTTTAATCCGGTTGTTTGTTTTCACTCCCGTTCAAATCTCTGTGATTCTTATTGCCTGTTGACCTAAAGTCCTTTGCCTTATCCAGAGTCTGAACACAAGGGAACAACATATTCTTTGGAAATTGCCCTGTAGTTGGGCCTGTTTCTTCCCTAGCCAGAGATTCTAATGAAAGCCCTCCTAGAAGCAATCCATTAAATATTCTTAGGAGACCTTTCGCGAAAGTGAGGAGGTGGGGACACTTGCTGGCTAGTGGTTTCAGCATAGAAATAAAGCAATGGAAAATCGTATAACTATAATTTGTGAAGTGAATGCAGTAGTTAGACACATGTGGACACCAAGGGTATTGGTAGGGATGGAGATTAGAGGCCTCTGAGCCTTTTTGCAGAGCCAGGTTGGTCCATTCGGCCCACTGGTCCTGTCGCTCTGCTTGAATAAAGTGAACTAAATAATCTAGTCCCAGCCGGGCGTGGTGGCGCACGCCTGTAATCCCTGCACTCAGGAGGCTGAGGCAGGAGGATCATTGCAAGTTTGAGACCAGCCTGGGCAACAGAGTGAGCTCAAGGCCAGCCTGAACTACATAGTGGGATCCTGTCTCAAAAAGACAAAACCTGCTCCACTTGCTCTTCAGGTTGATAGATGCTGGTTCTAACTCAAGCCTGGCTTTCTGACCGTCCTGTGCATTGGGAACTGGAAGGCAAGGGTGGAGATGTTAGATGGGACCAGCGTAGGACGGAAGAACAGGCCGTGCCCCTCATGTGGGTTCACATGCTCGCTGTGCACCCCTGCGCCCATGCCCCCGCCCCCCGCCAGGCAGAAGAGACTTTGCACACGGAGAACCCCGGCCAGCTTCTCCAGGGAGGAGCAAACAAGCAAACCAACAGTGTGAGGGGAGGTGTGTTGTGTGCTTGGCTGCTTGGACACCACGGACTTCCTGGCTTACACAATAGACACTGGGTTCTCATAGTTAAGGAGGCTGTGAAGTCCAAGGTCATGGTGCTGGCTGAACTGGTCCCTGCGGACCGTCTTCTTGCCAGCCTGTGGACATCGGCTTTTTCACTGACCGTCAGATGGTGGGACAGAGGTTCTGAGAGCTCTGGCCCCTCCTCCTCTTCTGATAGGGATATTAACAGCCTTGTGCCTGGTGTGTGACCTCATCTAAACCTGATTCCATGCCAAAGGCCTCGCCTCTGTCACACGGGGATAGGGCTTTGATGTGGGAGGGACACGAGCTCAGTCCTAACCGCTGGCGGGCCCTCTTGCAAGGAATGACTTCTACCCTGGTTTAAGTCAGGGGCTGTCGGATATAAGGGTCTCCTTTGGTCTGTCACTGGCTTCGCTCTTCTGACAGGCTTTCTCTGCAGGAGCCTGGCAAAGTCCCACAATGACACCTGCTCCCTGGGTCTCTGAACTTCCCTGTCTCCTGGTCACGGCTGCCTGACTGGAGTCCGTCCTGGGGATGGGTCCTGGGAGACCGGTGTCGTCTGGGTCTGTGGG